TGTAGCAGATGAGGAAAACAGGGGTGAGGAAGGAAAAATACCTTGACCAAAGTCAAAACTAAATCAGTGGAACTCAAGGTCTCCCACTGAGGTTCTCGCTATTTCCCTACTCAAACTAAGTAGACCAGTTTTGCTGTTACCACAAAGTTAGAGAAGCCCAAGCTTGGACACCAATCACCTCAGCTCCTTGTTTTCTACTTTAACCACCGTATTTAATTAAATACAATTAAATTCTGCAACAGTTCCTGAGCATACCTCCTCCTAGAGCAGACTTAAACCATTACTATCTTACTATTATTTTGTATCTGAGGACATTGCTAACCAGCTTGACCAGGGCAGAAAAATAAGGAACTATATCCACCCTGAAAAAAAAATCTAACATTGAAAGACAGTCACAAATCATAGTGTTTCACACAAAGGTGTGGATTTGAAAAAAAAAAATCTACAGGTTTTTGGTTTTTCTATTTTCTACTCAGGTCTCTACTGTATGCAGAAGCAGACTTAAGTAGCATAAATCAGAAAATGATAATGGGAACTGAATGAAATCCTCATAAATCACGTTACTAAGTATAGTTACATCTTAGATGTGAAACCCAATTAAACAGATGGCCACATGCTGTCAGAATCAGGCCCTAATCAATAAAGATGTTCATTTCAGAAAATCGCCTCAATTTTTCATTTCTTCAGTGAAGCAAAAAGAAGGCAGTTGGGGCTGGGGTGTCCCAGGAAACCCAGTGGGGAAATGTATAAGAAGGTACTCCACCTGTCTTAATTTGTAGTCCAGAAAAATCAGAAAGGAGAGAGAAAAAAATCGCCCAAAGGATTCCTTGTCATCTTGTCTGGGAATGTAATTTACAATAAGAGCGAACACTGGTCATTAGGAAAATAGAAACAGCTGAATCTCTTAATTAAAATACCACTTCAAATTGTTCATTCCAAACCCCCTTTGCTCATGAGTTTTCCAGAAACCACTAAAATGGCTGCTTCTTCAGTAAACCTCTGATAGGATTGGTTCTTCCCAGACAAGGAAAAGGCTGATCAGGGGTGAATCCTGGAGACAGAATTATTATGAGACTTACTTAAATCTTCAAAGGAGCAGTAAGCATTCACTGTGTATGGAAACACTTGTGAATAGTCTATCTCAATGCCTTTTCTTTCATAACAGCTGACCTATTACACTCACTATATTGGTAAAAATTAAGTCTACCAATGCCAAGAATGATGAAAATGATAGTTGATGAAAACATTTCCATAGTCTGGAACACTCACATTGGAAAACATTTGGTATTAGCTAGTAAAGTTGAGTATTTGCATACCCTACAAGCCAGTAATTCCATCCCTAATATAGACTCCAAATACTTTTTTAGGGGACATGTATGAGAATATACTGAGCAGTGCCGTTCGTAATAGCAAAAATATAAGGGGAAAGAAACACATAAATCTCTCATCAGAAAAGATCTGTAAAACAAATAAGTAATCTGGGATACAGTCACACAATGGAATAGTATATGGCAGTGAAAATAAAATAAACTACTGCCACATGCTACATGGATGAATCTTAAAAACATGTTAATTGAAAAAACACATTTGCTTAAGATTGCATATCATTCTTACTATGCTACAACATAAATAAAAATAAATATATTATTTAGAGATACTTAAATTATTTTAAATTTATTTTAAAAAACAAGAAAATGATAAACACACAAATCAGAATAGTGGTTACCTCTATGATGTGGGAGAGGAATAAAATGGAAAGGAGCATGGACAGATGCAATAATATTGGGAATGTTAGAGTTCTTGGTTGGGTGGTGGATTCATAGGGATATATTTATCATATGTTTCCTTATATCCTTTATAACCTCATATATTTCAGCATGTTTCATATATTATTTTGTATGTACCAAATCCTATATAATAAAGAGGTCATATCCAAATTGACTCTCACACCCTCACAAGATGGCTACCTATAACTAGGCCAGCAGGGGGTTAATGAGGGACAACCAAACAACTGAACAAGCAAGCCACATGGGGTGACCAGGCCGGCAGGGGGAGGCAGTTGGGGGCAACAAGGCCAGCAGAAAGGGGCAGTTGGGGGCGACCAGGCTGGTGGGGGAGGCAGTAAGAGGCGACCAGGCCAGCAGCAGGGGGTGCAGTTGGAAACAATCAGGCCAGCAGGGGAGGCAGTGAGGGGCAGCTAGGCTGGCAGCAGGGGTAATTAGGGGTGATTAGGCTGGCACGCAGAAGCAGTGAGGGGTGATCAGGCCAGCAGGGGTTGGGGGCAGTTAGGGGCAACCTGAAGAGCCAGTAGTCCAGGATTGTGAGAGGGTGCAGGCTGGGCTGAGGGGACCTCCCCACCCCTGTGCACAAATTTAGTGCACCGGGCCTCTAGTATTATATAAAACATTTTCTTTTACCGTGGATAATCTACAGAATTTTCTATTGCCCTATAGGTTATTTCAAGTAATATTATAATTCACATTATATAAATATAATTAATATTATTATTTATAATTGATAACCCTAATATCATAAGTTTCCATATGCAGCATAGTTTTTAACTTGGAGCTATATTAAGACATCATGCTGTACATTTTAAGTTCAGACAATTTTTATTTGTCAATTATATCTCCATAAAGCTGGGAGGAAGAAAGCAATGGTATTGTCATGATAATAGTGAATACTTGTACAGTAAGGAGTGACATTCAAAATATTCAAAATATTAATAACTGATTTGATTATATAAATTAATGTAAAAATCCAAAATTACCACCATCTGCTTGTTTTCCTTCTGTTCACTACCCTCTCAGACCAGTCCTGCAGAGATTGCCATTCCAAAGTGTGGCCACATGAGGATGACTCTAAAGAGATGTGCCTGCTGGGAGCAGGAGACCACCGCCTCAGGGCTGTCCTCTGTGGCCAGGGAGTCCTGTCCAGATGAGGGCCGGCATGAAGGGTGTATTGTGAGCATGCAGGATGCCTCAGTAAGGAGGTAGCATTTGAGCAAATATTTGAAGGAACTGGGAGTGTGAACTATACGGATCCCTTAGGCAAGTTTTCCTACTCAAAGCGAGTCCAGAGTATAAATGCCAGGAGGGAAGGGTCTCATGCTTTAGGACCAGGAGGTAGGCCAATGTGGCTGGGACAGATAGAGGTAAAGGCAGCCTGGTCAGAGGCCCCTGGCCATTGTAAGTAGCTTGGCTTCTAATCTGAATAAGATAGAAAGCTGGCAACAGGTTCTGAGCAAAGGAGGAAAATGAGGTGATTGTGAAACATCTTAAAATGGCTGCAATATTATATTTTAGAAACAGGGATGCCAGAGGAGGTGCTTACTGGTATGGAGAGCATGGTCAAGAGTGGCAAGTCTTTATAATTTCCATCCCCCACATTCAACAAACAGCATAGAGATGTGCTTAAAACCATGAGATTAGATGTTATTGCTAAGCAAGGGAGTGAAGATGGAAATCAGAAGATGTGTGTGGGGGGGGAGGGGGGGGGGAAGGAGAGGTGAGAAACTTGCAAGGGCTCAAGCAGGAGAGGACCAGCTTCTCCATAACAGATCACTACCAGCTTGAACTCACCATTTGTCATTCTCATGAATGTCAAATAGAATTGTCCTGCATGCTTCTGAACCTCGTTTATATAGTAACATACTCAGTATATTTCCCCAAGTTGCTTTTTCCACCACACAACCGAATATTTGTGAGGCTCATCCATGTTAATACATGTCACTCTAGGTCACTCGTTGTTCACTGCTATGTGGCATTCCTTTGTGTAAACATGCCACATTTTTTTAAAGTATATTTTATTGATTTTTTACAGAGAGGAAGGGAGAGAGCTAGAAATGTCGAGAGAGAAACATCGACAAGCTGCCTTCTGCACACCCCCCACCGGTGCACCAGTGTACATGCCCTTGACCGGAATTGAACCTGGGACCCTTCAGTCTGCAGACCGACGCTCCACCACTGAGCCAAACCGGTTTTTGGCTAGTAAACATGCCACATTTAATTCATTTTCCTGTGGAGGGACACATAGCTGATTCCCCTTTTCCTGTTATTATAAACAATACTGTTATGAGCATTCGCACATGGGCCTCACTATATGAAACTTCTTTACGGCAGTAGTTCTCAAACTATGTTAGTGTCACCTAGAGAGCTTAATCAAAGAGATTTCTGAGCCCTGTGTCCAGGGTCTGTGAACAATAGGTCTACGGTGCATTTTAACAAGTTCCCCCGCGACGTTCTTGCTGTTGTACCAGGACCACACTTTGAGAATCACAGCACTAGGGCGCATGCCAAGAGTGCAAATGATGGTCAGAGATATACATGCACAACTTCGACTTTCTACGTTGCCAAATTGCTCTGCAAAGTGAGTGAACCAATTTATACTTTCACCAGCAGTGAATGTCTGTCCTGTGTGCCAACGCTTGGTGCTGTCAGATTTTTAATTTGTGCCAATCAGATCTTTAATAATTTTTAAACTTATCATGGCATTTATAATAACTAGTACATATATCCACCGCATGTAAACGAAAGAAAGCCAAGGCTTTGCAACCTAGGGTTAATAACAACATTTCCAAACTTGTCATATATATATTCCCCTCAGGTTCTACAATCTCCCAGTTATCTGCTTGTTTTTCCACTCAATCCTAAAAATAAACAAAATGGTATAGACAAAATCAGTAAGACAATTCTGAGAGAAAAATGGAAACTTGTTTCTTTTCATGGCTAACTTCATTGTATTTTTAGTTATTATAGTTGGGGTTGTTGTTGTTTTTTCACTCAATGGTCTTATAAAGCTTTAAAAAAAAAAAAAAAACTTGTAAGGTGAAGGGAGTGAGGAAAATTGTGCATATGGGTATGGAAACAAACTTCTTTCACCAAAATACCTCGTCACTTTTGGGGGGGAAATAGAAAATGCGTTACCCTTAATCATAGTCATGGAAAAGTTCCCTCCATTTTGTACCAGATTTACAAGGAGGAGAGAAGCTGAGTACTCACGGATCTGGTTGGTGGATGCACTATAGAAGGCATTGACCGTCGTTGGATTTGTAAACCACCTGTAGCAAGAGAAACAAATATCACCAAGGGCTCATCATTATCCAGGCAGGAGGGCAGAAGAACAAACACAATGTTAACCAGGTAACAATGGGGAAATGATCACTTCAATTTAGGGCTATTGCTCTGCTCAATAAATAATCTCCTCCTAAACTGAACATGAGTCAATGAAAATATATTAACATGCCTGGTTATCTGCTGTTACTAACTACAGAGAAAGTCAGCACCAGTGCTTCTGAAACAGTTTAATGAGAAATCCTAGTCTCTTAACGGCTCTCCCTGCAGATGGAAACATGGCAACAAGCTGATGCTTGCCAGGCCCTGTTTAATGGGCCCATGGGCCAGCTGAGGTACTATGTGGCATAACCTCTGACCTGTCCACGTTAAAAAAAATTTTTTTTGGAATAGTGTTAACAAGAGGTCCATGTAAAGAAAGATTAATAGCCGAAACTGGTTTGGCTCAGTGGTAGAGCGTCAGTCTGCGGACTGAAAGGTCCTGGGTTCGATTCCGGTCAAGGGCATGTACATTGGTTGTGGGCACATCCCCAGTAGGGGGTGCGCAAGAGGTAGCTGGTTGATGTTTCTCTCTCATCGACGTTTCTAGCTCTCTATCTCTCCCTTCCTCTCTGTAAAAAAATCAATAAAATATATTTTTTTTAAAAAGAAAGATTAATAAAATATAACTATGCTACCCAGAGTATCTGTCTACTCTGGTGGAAAGTTTACTGATATAACCACCAAAAGATCAACTGAATCATCCTACCACTCTCACCAATTAGCTGGGCCATGGTCAAACAGTCGCCTACTTTCTGAGGTTCGGCTTTAGCTATGAAAGTAAGGTTGCATTAGGAGATCTTGGGAGTACCTTCCAGCTATGAAAAATCTACACTCCACTTGGATTAGAGCTCAGGAAAAAAAATTTTCTGTGAAGAGTCATATGGTAAACATGTAGGTATTTTGTAAAGAGGCAAAATCAAGGATGTTATACAGGTTCTTCTATAGTGAGAATTTTTTCCACAAATCTTTAATGAAATTCAAAACATAATAACCATGTACAATTTTTTGTAATATGGGACTATTAACAAAAGAATGAAATTCTTTTAGTGCAGGACAACATTTTGCCTAATTGCGGTTCAAAGTTTGTGCTTTGCATCATCAAATCAACTACAAACACTTATCTCTAAAAATCATTCTTAGCTCATGAGCCATACAAAAACAGGCAGCAGGCAAGATTTAGCCACAAGCCATAATTTTCCAACCCTTGACTCAGATGGCTGTGAGTTTCAGCCACTTCTGTTTATGATTAAAACAAAGCAATTTGTTTGAAGCTAAATTGCTTAATGTAAATTCCTTTACAGAAAATCATTTTACTAATTTATGTTTAATAGAATAATTACGTATGTCAGTAATCTGAAACTAGTAGGAAATCTAAGTATTGATTCTAATTGGCCCACCCATACCTTCTCTCCATCTATAAAGAAGTCCATGAATATATCATTCTATTATTATTATTATTATTATTATTATTATTATTATTATTAGAGGCCCATTGCATGAAGAGATTCCTTCCTTCCCTTGGCCTCCAGCACTGGTTTTCCTCCAGCATCCAGGACCCAGGCCTTCCTCCAGCCAGAGTCTGCCTTCTTCGTCTTTGCTGCAGATTCCAGAGTCTGCAGTCTTGTCTTCGCTGCTGTGGCACTCTGATCCTGTAGATTCCTTCCTACCCCTTCCCCACCCTCCCTCTCACAGCAGGCATCCTGCCCCCGCCTGGCCACTCTGTGCCTGAAGCAGCCTGGGCATCCGCAATCTTTGGCCTTCTAATTTGCATACTCACTCTGATTGGCTGTGGACGTAACAGAGGTACGGTCAATATAGACGTTTGTCTATTATTAGGTAAGATTAACCAATATTCACTGAGCAATTACTGTGTCCTCGGCACTTCCTATTGATAGGTTTTTCCCCACAGCAACTATAACAATTATTATCCCATTACACAAATGAAGACAATGACATTTACAAGCATTATATAATTATACAAAGCCTGATCAGTCTGAACTTCAAACCAGTTTCTCTTAAGTATTATAGTATACTGGAAACATTATTGGATATCAAGAAAGAGTGTATCCCTTCTCTTGTCAAAACTTAAACCTATACTCTCTTCCATAAGTGTATATTCTTTTCATTCAACTTTAATATTCATATTTCAAAGGTCTTAATTATTAACACAAAGTTACTGATTGGACTATTTTCCTGAGGAAATAAGTGGATATAAAGCACCTTTATTTGTTGCTATCTATAGTAGGTAGAATTATGGCTCCCAAAAAGATATCTACATACTAATCCCTGGGTCCATACTAATACCCCATCCCATTTCATGGCAAAGAGGACTGCAGAGTAATTTAAGTTTAAGGACCTAAAAATAGGGAGGTTATCCTGGATTTTCCATGTGTTCCCATTTGAATCACATGAGCTCTTAAGAGCATTAAACCTTCTCTGACTGGAATCTGAGAGATGCAACACGGAAGAGGAGGAAGTCAGAAGAGATGCTGCACAACCAAGTCCGGTGATTCCAAGACTGAAAAGGATTCCACACACTCTTTCTGGCTCTGAGATGTAGGAGCCATGTGCAAGGACCAAAGAGAGACTTCAAGTGAAGAGTGGCTTCCAGCTAACCATCACGAAGGAAGGAGGAATCTTAGTTCTACAATCACAAGAAACTGAATTCTGCCAACACCTGATGAGATTGGAAGAGGCTTCTTCGCAGAGCCTCCTGCTAAGGGCCTGCCCAGCTGACACCTTCATTTCAGCCTTGCAAAACATGGAGTCAAGAAATCAGCCAAGCCAATCCACACTTCTAATCTATAGAAGTGTGAAATAATACATTTGTGATTTTGAGTTGCTATGGTTGTGGTAATTTATTACAGCAGTAATATAAAAATAATACATTGCCCAAAGACCCAGGCATTTATTTCTATGTCTGCTTTTAGGGTCAAAAGTAGGAGAATCCAGGTATATCTCAAGTTGTCTTTTAAAAAACATTGGACAGAAATATAATATGTTCAAAAGATTAAGTGTATTCCTAGAGCTCACCCCTTCTCTTTCTATCCCTCCCAACTCCTCTCCCTTGTGCAAAGAATAAACTTTCAGAATATCAGGGTAATAGCCATACAAGGAAAACGTTTCTAACTGCTGATGGGTCAAGATGGACAAAACAAAGAAATCAAACAACCACATGGGTGCTCTAAAGCTTCAGCAAGAATACCTAAAACATCTCATTTCAGATACATGACCTCAGCTTTCCTCACCTCCCAGAGCTCTTGCTGATTCTAGGGTATATTTAGAGCCTTGATTATACCCAGAGCTCATATCAGTTGTGGATGCTATTATTTCTTACTAGAGGCCTGGTGCACAAATTCAGTCACAGGTGGGGTCTGGCCACCAGCCCCAATAGGGGCTGATCGGGGCCAGGCTGGCAGGGGGGTGGGGATACAGGAGGTTGGCTGGCCAGCACTAACCCCGATCAGAGTGGGGGGCCAATCAGGGGCAGGGATGGATGGGGGGAGGAGCTGTGGGAGGTTGGGGGCACCGATCAGGGCCCCTATTTGGCTGGTTGGCTACCGCAGTGCTCATAGCAACCAGTCATTCCAGTCGCTTGGTTTTTATATAGATTGGTCAGTGCCCATGCCAAAGCATTTGCGTGTGTGTGTGTGTGTGTGTGTGTGTGTGTGTGTGTGTATATATATATATATATATATATATATATATATATATATATATTATGTATAGGGCATAATGTCTCAGGAAAGTCATAATGTACTGCCATCTGTGAAGAATAAGCCCAAATTGCTGTTGGATGTGTTATTCAGAGGAGCCATTCTTCAGGCACTCTGCTCTCTTTATACCCAATTAAATATTTTCTATATCTCCTAAATATTTTCTAAACTTATTACATCCAAGTTTATTATGTACTAGAGGCCTGGTGCATGAAATTGGTGCATGGGGGGGTGAACCTCAGCCCAGCCTGCATCCTCCCCAATCTGGGACCCCTTGAGGGATGTTCAATTGCCTGTTGAAAAAAACAGGCAGTCGAACATCCCTCTCAAAATCTAGGACTGCTGACTCCCAACCACTAGTCTGCCTGCCTGATTGATTGCCCCTAACCGCTTCTGCCTGCCAGCCTGATCACCCTCTAACCACTCCCCTGCCAGCCTGATCGACACCTAACTGCTCCCTGCTGGCCCGATTGTCCCTAACTACCCTGCCCTGCCAATCTGGTTGCCTCTAACTGTCCTCCTCTGCAAGCCTGCCCCCCAACTGCCCTCCCCTGGAGGCCTGGTCCCCCCCTACTGCCCTTCCCTGTAGGCCTTAGTCCCCCACAACTGTCCTCCCCTGCAGGCCTGGATCCCCCCCCAACTGTCCTCCCATGTGGGCCTCGTCTCCCCAACTGTCTTCCCTTGTAGGCCTGGATCCCCCCCCCCAGCTACCATCCCTTGCAGGCCTGGTCCCTTACAACTGCCCTCCCCTGCTGGCTTGATCGCCCACAAATGGCCTCCCCTGCCGGCCATCTTGTGGTGGCCATCTTGTGTCCACATGGGGGCAGCCATCTTTGGCCACATGGCGATGGCCATCTTGTGTGTTGGAGTGATGGTCAATTTGCATATTACTCTTATTAGATTAGATTTAGTTTTATTATTCTCTAATATAAGGCTACCTGTGCTAGTTCTAATCTGTGTTTGCAATTTGTTTTACATCCTCCCACTAAGAGGTGAAATCTAAGCTCCTCTCCTCTTGATTATGGGTTAGCCTCGATGACTCACTTCTATCAATAAAACATACACTGCAGTGGACAATGACACCATGTAACTTCCAATGCTAGGCAGTTAAGGGTGATAAAACCTCTCTCCCCAACCAGGTGATCACATGTGCTGCCCTCCCTCACTCTGTCCTTCTTAGGAAACTTACTCTTTGAAGTTTCTTGCTCAATCAGCATGCTATAAAGAAG